AGAAATATTCTGTGTCATTAGTAAATCCTCCTTAAACAGTTCTACAAGATACTGTCACTTTGTATTGTTTGTGTGCAGAGATTTTTCGAAACAGTTTGTGATGCTGAGTGAAGTTAGAAAACATTGTGTTTATCAGCTGTGAAGATTTACAGTCAATGTTTTTGATCAAATTAAACTGAATTTGCTTTATTATTGTTCATGTGTGTGGTTTATATGTACGTTTGAATGAGTATGAAACATTAAGTGTCAGTCTCTCACAGTCACAGACAGACATGTTTTCAGAATGAAAGACCTGAAGGTTGTGTTGCCTGATTGTGAGTTTGATATAGAAACTTCTGCTGCTGGCAAAGTGCTGAAAAGTGATTTTCTCAGTTTTATGAAAGCATCTCATAGCCTCTCATCACAGTTGGTACAAATACAAATCTATGAGGTGAAGCAGGGTAAAACTCTTATCAGATTGTGTGGTTGCCTGAAGATGTAGAGAGAGTGAGGTGTTTAATTGATTTAAAGTGAGAAGTGCAGACAGAATCAAATTAGACGCTTTGTGGCAGCACACTCTGTTCTCAGACAATTTTTATTATTCAAATACTTCTTCTGTGAGAGGAGGAAAGCACTGTACAATGAGTGTCTCTGCTGCAACCACATACTCCACCAGTAATATACATATAATTGCTGTTTTCTTATTTTAAGTTGTGCACAGTGTGTGTGTGTGTGTGTGTGTGTGTGTGTGTGACATTGTCCCTGTGGTGGGTCATTGTGCAATCCTATTTAGCTGCAGATACATAGCTCAAATATAATTGTACCTGGTCAGTACCATTGTCACTCTCCAACGTTCTCTAAAAATAGTCAACATGGATATCATGAAAGAGATAATGTGATATAGTCAGTGACTGGGAAGCCTTGGATGTCGGAGCGCCCTTGAATGCACCAAGAAGTAGAGTTTTCAGTTCAGTCACATTTTGAATGTATATGTATATTCGTGTTTTATGCTTTGTCAAACAGAGTAAAGTCGCCAATCTGTTAATTAGAGATCCAGTTGTAATTTATTGTTATTTTAATAACCCTCTCTCATACAGAACCACCAGAAAGGAGCTTTACAGGTTATTTCTCAAAGATAAACTCGGTAACAAATCTTCAGTGAAATGTCTAAAAACGGCTAGACCTATGTTATATTGTTGACTTGTGTATTTACATTATCCAAAACGATTCCAACAATGTTCAAACTCTCACAATTTCATGTTTCATTTTGTCGTCTTTTAGTTGCTTCATATCCACTTCACCAGTGGCTTTATCTTTTCTATAACATCCTGGGCAAACAAAGTATGACCAAGGAAAAACACAATGCTAGCCAGTTAGCCAGTCTTGTGTTTTTTCCTTCCACTGTTTGTGTTGATCACTCTTAATGGATCATGATTTTTTTTTGCCGTTTGCTACATAACATGAATAAAACATGAATACATTACCTCAACCGTGAACGTGATCTGCGCCTGACTCGCAATAAAAGACATTTTCATCGGCAACAACTCCAATGATCCCACACTGCCCCATGACATCATCATGACATTTTCTGTCGTCTTCATTTGTATTTGAGCCACTAACCTGACATCATCACTCAAACAGGATTTGTTTGCTCAACAAGAACCAAACCTCTTCTCAACTTACATCTTTCTCTCTCTCTTCTCCCAGGTGGGAGAGATCCGTGCTCATGCTGCAGAGTGGACGGCTAACGTCTCGGCAGAGTTTAAAGAAACCCGTCGTCGTGTCAGTGTCGAGATCTACGACAAGTTCCAGCGCGCGGCGTCAATTAAACGCAAACTGTCCACTGACCTGGGATTTAGCCCCGCCCCTGAACTGACTCTGCCCAGGAGGACTGTGTCGGTCAATTTCAACGACGAACGGGACAAGAAGGAGGCCGGGCTGCAGGGCCTGAACACGCCTCTGGCCAGAAACGGGGGTTTGCTCATGAATGGTTTGGACCCAGAAAGAGGCGATGGCTCAACCATCGAACACCTCAAGTAGAGAGACGATGGCCAACGCTTTTCTAGATCCTTCCAAGACCTTTACGTTTGTCATCAGTGCTGAGACCAGATCTGCTCGACCAGAGAAACTGTTTCTATTAAATCAAGTGATAATGACGATGTGGCACTTTGTGACCCCAGGAGCAACGTCTTCAATTCTCTGTAATGAGGCCAGAGTGAAAGCTCAACAACACTCCAGTGGATTTCTCAAGACTGGACACTTTTCTCCTCGTTCCTACACAGAGACAAAGAGTGAGAAGAACAGACAGTGAAGGAGTTGAACTTATTGAAAACTCACTTGATCTCTTGAAAGAACAACAGTGGTTCAAACCTGCTATTTACTGTATGTATATTGTGACCTAATGTAGAAAAGTCAGTAGATTTTCTAAGGTGCCTGGCCGTGGTTCCACTTTTCCACTGTCACAGTTTAGGATACATTTTATACTAAAAGGCTTTAAAACATATGAACATTCATTTGACTTTATTTTTGATTTGACATTACATTTTGAGGTGACATGCAGTAAAGGTCCCAGACTAAGTTCAGATCATCAACAGTGCAGTTAATTCCAATAGTAGCAATTGAAATCCCTGAATTAAATGAATATGTATTTTAATCTGAAGCTTTCTGCTGATCATCTCTCTGACTGTTTACTGATCTTACTGGTTGGCAACAGATTTTTTTTCTTTCAATAGTTTGTTGGTAATTAACCAAATCTACAGATTTAAATATTGCTACCACCTTTCAGTACAAGTTGTGACTTTTTGCAAAAGCTGAATGCCAAATATTATCTTTATTTCAATGTCAAACCTTCTCCCCACTTTTCACGACTGCTGAGTTGTAGTTAGTTCCTGAGTGGTGGATGTGTCTGCCCACTGTGGTTGTCAGTGGCAGCCGCTCCCACACAGCAAAACTTTTCTACAACTGTAGATCTTTTTGTGTAATGTTGTCATCTTAATGTTATGGATTTGACATCCTTACGTATACAATTTACCACTAACTTCTCAGTTTCAGAGAAGACGCAGAATGTGCATGTGGTTTTAAGTGCTCAGATGTAGATTTAAAATAACTTAAAGCTCTGATCGGCTCTGTGAGATTTGTTGAACCATCGTTGTGCCTTAAACTCTTTACTTTGCCTACGAGGCCGAGCACAACACACAGCGAGGTGGACCACTGACTGAACAAGTGTTATTTGCAGTGTTGCATGTGTCTCTCACATGATATATGATATATTGTTTATATACACTCATGTTCTACTGGCCTGGATCCTCATGTGATCATACTCAATACTTGATCGAGCAGTGAGTACGCTGTGGCAGACTTTTTTTTTTTCGAAACATGTTTTTTCACCTTTATTGACATGATGGTAAGCATGAGTGTGGCAAAGTGCTGGGTCAGAATCGAACCCACAGTTGATGCAGGAGGATTAAGGCCTCTGAATGCAGGGCGCCCACTGGCTCACCTGATGATGCAGGTCCCCTACACGCAGAGTCCCACTGTTCAAGACTTAACTGGGTTTTTTTTTATAATTGAAGGGGAAAATGTCAGCTGCCATACTTTTTGTGTTCTAGAAAATGATACATGTTGAGATATCATGGTTTGATGTGAGGATTCACAGATATCATGAAAGTTTCATTGTTACAGTGCAAGAATAAATTAAGTTTTAATGCCCAGCTTTCATGCACACACACACACACACACACACACACACACACACACA